AGAGGTTAAGGAGGACAAACCTGTTCCTTCTTTGCCAATGAAACCAACTGATCCATTGACCACTACAACTAAACCAGGAGTACCCATAGATTCAGGAACGGGCGGTGTTACACCTTATTCCGATGAAGAATCGGGAGATGACGATGACAGTAAGATTCCAGAGGTTAAGGAGGACAAACCTGTTCCTTCTTTGCCAATGAAACCAACTGATCCATTGACCACTACAACTAAACCAGGAGTACCCATAGATTCAGGAAAGGGCGGTGTTACACCTTATTCCGATGAAGAATCGGAAGATGACGATGAAAGTAAGGTTCCAGAGGTTATGGAGGACAAACCTGTTCCTTCTTTGCCAATGAAACCAACTGATCCATTGACCACTACAACTAAACCAGGAGTACCCATAGATTCAGGAAAGGGCGGTGTTACACCTTATTCCGATGAAGAATCGGAAGATGACGATGACAGTAAGGTTCCAGAGGTTAAGGAGGACAAACCTGTTCCTTCTTTGCCAATGAAACCAACCGATCCATTGACCACTACAACTAAACCAGGAGTACCCATAGATTCAGGAAAGGGCGGTGTTACACCTTATTCCGATGAAGAATCGGAAGATGACGATGACATTAAGGTTCCAGAGGTTAAAGAGGACAAACCTGTTCCTACTTTGCCAATGAAACCAACCGATCCATTGACCTCGACAGCCGACGGTTACATTAAGGTTCCAGAGGTTAAAGAGGACAAACCTGTTCCTTCTTTGCCAATGAAACCAACTGATCCATTGACCACTACAACTAAACCAGGAGTACCCATAGATTCAGGAAAGGGCGGTGTTACACCTTATTCCGATGAAGAATCGGAAGATGACGATGGCAGTAAGGTTCCAGAGGTTAAAGAGGACAAACCTGTTCCTACTTTGCCAATGAAACCAACCGATCCATTGACCACTACAACTAAACCAGGAGTACCCATAGATTCAGGAAAGGTCGGTGTTACACCTTATTCCGATGAAGAATCGGAAAATGACGATGACAGACAGGTTCCAGAGGTTAAAGAGGACAAACCTGTTCCCTCTTTGCCAATGAAACCAACTGATCCATTGACCACTACAACTAAACCAGGAGTACCCATAGATTCAGGAAAGGGCGGTGTTACACCTTATTCCGATGAAGAATCGGAAGATGACGATGACAGTAAGATTCCAGAGGTTAAAGAGGACAAACCTGTTCCTTCTTTGCCAATGAAACCAACTGATCCATTGACCACTACAACTAAACCAGGAGTACCCATAGATTCAGGAAAGGGCGGTGTTACACCTTATTCCGATGAAGAATCGGAAGATGACGATGAAAGTAAGGTTCCAGAGGTTAAAGAGGACAAACCTGTTCCTACTTTGCCAATGAAACCAACCGATCCATTGACCACTACAACTAAACCAGGAGTACCCATAGATTCAGGAAAGGTCGGTGTTACACCTTATTCCGATGAAGAATCGGAAAATGACGATGACAGACAGGTTCCAGAGGTTAAAGAGGACAAACCTGTTCCCTCTTTGCCAATAAAACCAACTGATCCATTGACCACTACAACTAAACCAGGAGTACCCATAGATTCAGGAAAGGGCGGTGTTACACCTTATTCCGATGAAGAATCGGAAGATGACGATGACAGTAAGATTCCAGAGGTTAAAGAGGACAAACATGTTCATTCTTTGCCAATGAAACCAACTGATCCTTTGACCACTACAACTAAACCAGGAGTACCCATAGATTCAGGAAAGGGCGGTGTTACACCTTATTCTGATGAAGAATCGGAAGATGACGATGACAGTAAGATTCCAGAGGTTAAAGAGGACAAACCTGTTCCTTCTTTGCCAATGAAACCAACTGATCCATTGACCACTACAACTAAACCAGGAGTACCCATAGATTCAGGAAAGGGCGGTGTTACACCTTATTTCGATGAAGAATCGGAAGATGACGATGACAGTAAGGTTTCAGAGGTTAAAGAGGACAAACCTGTTCCTTTTTTGCCATTGAAACCCACTGATCCATTGACCACTACAACTAAACCAGGAGTACCCATAGATTCAGGAAAGGGCGGTGTTACACCTTATTCCGATGAAGAATCGGAAGATGACGATGACAGTAAGGTTCCAGAGGGTAAAGAGGAAAAACCTGTTCCTTCTTTGCCAATGAAACCAACTGATCCATTGACCACTACATCTAAACCAGGAGTACCCATAGATTCAGGAAAGGGCGGTGTTACACCTTATTCCGATGAAGAATCGGAAGATGACGATGACAGTAAGGTTCCAGAGGTTATGGAGGACAAACCTGTTCCTTCTTTGCCAATGAAACCAACTGATCCATTGACCACTACAACTAAACCAGGAGTACCCATAGATTCAGGAAAGGGCGGTGTTACACCTTATTCCGATGAAGAATCGGGAGATGACGATGACAGTAAGGTTCCAGAGGTTAAGGAGGACAAACCTGTTCCTACTTTGCCAATGAAACCAACCGATCCATTGACCACTTCAACTAAACCAGGAGTACCCATAGATTCAGGAAAGGGCGGTGTTATACCTTATTCCGATGAAGAATCGGAAGATGACGATGACAGTAAGGTTCCAGAGGTTAAAGAGGACAAACCTGTTCCTACTTTGCCAATGAAACCAACCGATCCATTGACCACTACAACTAAACCAGGAGGACCAATAGATTCAGGAAAGGGCGGTGTTACACCTTATTCCGATGAAGAATCGGAAGATGACGATGACAGTAAGATTCCAGAGGTTAAAGAGGACAAACATGTTCCTTCTTTGCCAATGAAACCAACTGATCCTTTGACCACTACAACTAAACCAGGAGTACCCATAGATTCAGGAAAGGGCGGTGTTACACCTTATTCTGATGATGAATCGGAAGATGACGATGACAGTAAGATTCCAGAGGTTAAAGAGGACAAACCTGTCACTTCTTTGCCAATGAAACCAACTGATCCATTGACCACTACAACTAAACCAGGAGTACCCATAGATTCAGGAAAGGGCGGTGTTACACCTTATTCCGATGAAGAATCGGAAGATGACGATGACAGTAAGATTCCAGAGGTTAAAGAGGACAAACATGTTCCTTCTTTGCCAATGAAACCAACTGATCCTTTGACCACTACAACTAAACCAGGAGTACCCATAGATTCAGGAAAGGGCGGTGTTACACCTTATTCTGATGAAGAATCGGAAGATGACGATGACAGTAAGATTCCAGAGGTTAAAGAGGACAAACCTGTTCCTTCTTTGCCAATGAAACCAACTGATCCATTGACCACTACAACTAAACCAGGAGTACCCATAGATTCAGGAAAGGGCGGTGTTACACCTTATTCCGATGAAGAATCGGAAGATGACGATGACAGTAAGGTTCCAGAGGTAAAAGAGGACAAACCTGTTCCTTCTTTGCCAATGAAATCAATTGATGCATTGACCACTACAACTAAACGAGGAGTACCCATAGATTCAGGAAAGGGCGGTGTTACACCTTATTCCGATGAAGAATCGGAAGATGACGATGACAGTAAGGTTCCAGAGGTTAAAGAGGACAAACCTGTTCCTACTTTGCCAATGAAACCAACCGATCCATTGACCTCGACAGCCGACGGTTACATTAAGGTTCCAGAGGTTAAAGAGGACAAACCTGTTCCTTCTTTGCCAATGAAACCAACTGATCCATTGACCACTACAACTAAACCAGGAGTACCCATAGATTCAGGAAAGGGCGGTGTTACACCTTATTCCGATGAAGAATCGGAAGTTGACGATGACAGTAAGATTCCAGAGGTTAAAGAGGACAAACCTGTTCCTTCTTTGCCAATGAAACCAACTGATCCATTGACCACTATAACTAAACCAGGAGTACCCATAGATTCAGGAAAGGGCGGTGTTACATCTTATTCCGATAAAGAATCGGAAGATGACGATGACAGTAAGGTTCCAGAGGATAAAGAGGACAAACCTTTTCCTTCTTTGCCAATGAAACCAACTGATCCATTGACCACTACAACTAAACCAGGAGTACCCATAGATTCAGGAAAGGGCGGTGTTACACCTTATTCCGATGAAGAATCGGAAGATGACGATGACAGTAAGGTTCCAGAGGTTAAAGAGGACAAACCTGTTCCTACTTTGCCAATGAAACCAACCGATCCATTGACCTCGACAGCCGAAGGTTACATTAAGGTTCCAGAGGTTAAAGAGGACAAACCTGTTCCTTCTTTGCCAATGAAACCAACTGATCCATTGACCACTACAACTAAACCAGGAGTACCCATAGATTCAGGAAAGGGCGGTGTTACACCTTATTCCGATGAAGAATCGGAAGATGACGATGACAGTAAGATTCCAGAGGTTAAAGAGGACAAACCTGTTCCTTCTTTGCCAATGAAACCAACTGATCCATTGACCACTATAACTAAACCAGGAGTACCCATAGATTCAGGAAAGGGCGGGGTTACACCTTATTCCGATGAAGAATCGGAAGATGACGATGACAGTAAGGTTCCAGAGGATAAAGAGGACAAACCTTTTCCTTCTTTGCCAATGAAACCAACTGATCCATTGACCACTACAACTAAACCAGGAGTACCCATAGATTCAGGAAAGGGCGGTGTTACACCTTATTCCGATGAAGAATCGGAAGATGACGATGACAGTAAGGTTCCAGAGGTTAAAGAGGACAAACCTGTTCCTTCTTTGCCAATGAAACCAACTGATCCATTGACCACTACAACTAAACCAGGAGTACCCATAGATTCAGGAAAGGGCGGTGTTACACCTTATTCCGATGAAGAATCGGAAGATGACGATGACAGTAAGGTTCCAGAGGTTAAGGAGGACAAACCTGTTCCTTCTTTGCCTATGAAACCAATTGATCCATTGACCACTACAACTAAACCAAGAGTACCCATAGATTCAGGAAAGGGCGGTGTTACAACTTATTCCGATGAAGAATCGGGAGATGACGATGACAGTAAGGTTCCAGAGGTTAAGGAGGACAAACCTGTTCCTTCTTTGCCAATGAAACCAACTGATCCATTGACCACTACAACTAAACCAGGAGTACCCATAGATTCAGGAAAGGGCGGTGTTACACCTTATTCCGATGAAGAATCGGAAGATGACGATGAAAGTAAGGTTCCAGAGGTTATGGAGGACAAACCTGTTCCTTCTTTGCCAATGAAACCAACTGATCCATTGACCACTACAACTAAACCAGGAGTACCCATAGATTCTGGAAAGGGCGGTGTTACACCTTATTCCGATGAAGAATCGGAAGATGACGATGACATTAAGGTTCCAGAGGTTAAAGAGGACAAACCTGTTCCTACTTTGCCAATGAAACCAACCGATCCACTGACCTCGACAGCCGACGGTTACATTAAGGTTCCAGAGGTTAAAGAGGACAAACCTGTTCCTTCTTTGCCAATGAAACCAACCGATCCATTGACCACTACAACTAAACCAGGAGTACCCATAGATTCAGGAAAGGGCGGTGTTACACCTTATTCCGATGAAGAATCGGAAGATGACGATGACAGTAAGGTTCCAGAGGTTAAAGAGGACAAACCTGTTCCTACTTTGCCAATGAAACCAACCGATCCATTGACCACTACAACTAAACCAGGAGTACCCATAGATTCAGGAAAGGTCGGTGTTACACCTTATTCCGATGAAGAATCGGAAAATGACGATGACAGACAGGTTCCGGAGGTTAAAGAGGACAAACCTGTTCCTTCTTTGCCAATGAAACCAACTGATCCATTGACCACTACAACTAAACCAGGAGTACCCATAAATTCAGGAAAGGGCGGTGTTACACCTTATTCCGATGAAGAATCGGAAGATGACGATGACAGTAAGATTCCAGAGGTTAAAGAGGACAAACATGTTCATTCTTTGCCAACGAAACCAACTGATCCTTTGACCACTACAACTAAACCAGGAGTACCCATAGATTCAGGAAAGGGCGGTGTTACACCTTATTCTGATGAAGAATCGGAAGATGACGATGACAGTAAGATTCCAGAGGTTAAAGAGGACAAACCTGTTCCTTCTTTGCCAATGAAACCAACTGATCCATTGACCACTACAACTAAACCAGGAGTACCCATAGATTCAGGAAAGGGCGGTGTTACACCTTATTCCGATGAAGAATCGGAAGATGACGATGACAGTAAGGTTCCAGAAGTTAAGGAGGACAAACCTGTTCCTTTTTTGCCATTGAAACCCACTGATCCATTGACCACTACAACTAAATCAGGAGTACCCATAGATTCAGGAAAGGGCGGTGTTACACCTTATTCCGATGAAGAATCGGAAGATGACGATGACAGTAAGGTTCCAGAGGTTAAAGAGGACAAACCTGTTCCTTCTTTGCCAATGAAACCAACTGATCCATTGACCACTACATCTAAACCAGGAGTACCCATAGATTCAGGAAAGGGCGGTGTTACACCTTATTCCGATGAAGAATCGGAAGATGACGATGACAGTAAGGTTCCAGAGGTTAAGGAGGACAAACCTGTTCCTTCTTTGCCAATGAAACCAACTGATCCATTGACCACTACAACTAAACCAGGAGTACCCATAGATTCAGGAAAGGGCGGTGTTACACCTTATTCCGATGAAGAATCGGGAGATGACGATGACAGTAAGGTTCCAGAGGTTAAGGAGGACAAACCTGTTCCTACTTTGCCAATGAAACCAACCGATCCATTGACCTCCACAGCCGACGGTTACAGTAAGGTTCCAGAGGTTAAAGAGGACAAACCTGTTCCTTCTTTGTCAATGAAACCAACTGATCCATTGACCACTTCAACTAAACCAGGAGTATCCATAGATTCAGGAAAGGGCGGTGTTATACCTTATTCCGATGAAGAATCGGAAGATGACGATGACAGTAAGGTTCCAGAGGTTAAAGAGGACAAACCTGTTCCTACTTTGCCAATGAAACCAACCGATCCATTGACCACTACAACTAAACCAGGAGTACCCATAGATTCAGGAAAGGGCGGTGTTACACCTTATTCCGATGAAGAATCGGAAGATGACGATGACAGTAAGATTCCAGAGGTTAAAGAGGACAAACATGTTCCTTCTTTGCCAATGAAACCAACTGATCCTTTGACCACTACAACTAAACCAGGAGTACCCACAGATTCAGGAAAGGGCGGTGTTACACCTTATTCTGATGAAGAATCGGAAGATGACGATGACAGTAAGATTCCAGAGGTTAAAGAGGACAAACCTGTCACTTCTTTGCCAATGAAACCAACTGATCCATTGACCACTACAACTAAACCAGGAGTACCCATAGATTCAGGAAAGGGCGGTGTTACACCTTATTCCGATGAAGAATCGGAAGATGACGATGACAGTAAGATTCCAGAGGTTAAAGAGGACAAACATGTTCCTTCTTTGCCAATGAAACCAACTGATCCTTTGACCACTACAACTAAACCAGGAGTACCCATAGATTCAGGAAAGGGCGGTGTTACACCTTATTCTGATGAAGAATCGGAAGATGACGATGACAGTAAGATTCCAGAGGTTAAAGAGGACAAACCTGTTCCTTCTTTGCCAATGAAACCAACTGATCCATTGACCACTACAACTAAACCAGGAGTACCCATAGATTCAGGAAAGGGCGGTGTTACACCTTATTCCGATGAAGAATCGGAAGATGACGATGACAGTAAGGTTCCAGAGGTAAAAGAGGACAAACCTGTTCCTTCTTTGCCAATGAAATCAATTGATGCATTGACCACTACAACTAAACGAGGAGTACCCATAGATTCAGGAAAGGGCGGTGTTACACCTTACTCCGATGAAGAATCGGAAGATGACGATGACAGTAAGGTTCCAGAGGTTAAAGAGGACAATCCTGTTCCTTCTTTGCCAATGAAATCAACTGATCCATTGACCACTGCAACTAAACCAGGAGTACCCATAGATTCAGGAAAGGGCGGTGTTACACCTTACTCCGATGAAGAATCGGAAGATGACGATGACAGTAAGGTTCCAGAGGTTAAAGAGGACAAACCTGTTCCTTCTTTGCCAATGAAACCAACTGATCCATTGACCACTACAACTAAACCAGGAGTACCCATAGATTCAGGAAAGGGCGGTGTTACACCTTATTCCGATGAAGAATCGGAAGATGACGATGACAGTAAGGTTCCAGAGGTTAAGGAGGACAAACCTGTTCCTTCTTTGCCAATGAAACCAATTGATCCATTGACCACTACAACTAAACCAAGAGTACCCATAGATTCAGGAAAGGGCGGTGTTACAACTTATTCCGATGAAGAATCGGGAGATGACGATGACAGTAAGGTTCCAGAGGTTAAGGAGGACAAACCTGTTCCTTCTTTGCCAATGAAACCAACTGATCCATTGACCACTACAACTAAACCAGGAGTACCCATAGATTCAGGAAAGGGCGGTGTTACACCTTATTCCGATGAAGAATCGGAAGATGACGATGAAAGTAAGGTTCCAGAGGTTATGGAGGACAAACCTGTTCCTTCTTTGCCAATGAAACCAACTGATCCATTGACCACTACAACTAAACCAGGAGTACCCATAGATTCTGGAAAGGGCGGTGTTACACCTTATTCCGATGAAGAATCGGAAGATGACGATGACATTAAGGTTCCAGAGGTTAAAGAGGACAAACCTGTTCCTACTTTGCCAATGAAACCAACCGATCCACTGACCTCGACAGCCGACGGTTACATTAAGGTTCCAGAGGTTAAAGAGGACAAACCTGTTCCTTCTTTGCCAATGAAACCAACCGATCCATTGACCACTACAACTAAACCAGGAGTACCCATAGATTCAGGAAAGGGCGGTGTTACACCTTATTCCGATGAAGAATCGGAAGATGACGATGACAGTAAGGTTCCAGAGGTTAAAGAGGACAAACCTGTTCCTACTTTGCCAATGAAACCAACCGATCCATTGACCACTACAACTAAACCAGGAGTACCCATAGATTCAGGAAAGGTCGGTGTTACACCTTATTCCGATGAAGAATCGGAAAATGACGATGACAGACAGGTTCCGGAGGTTAAAGAGGACAAACCTGTTCCTTCTTTGCCAATGAAACCAACTGATCCATTGACCACTACAACTAAACCAGGAGTACCCATAAATTCAGGAAAGGGCGGTGTTACACCTTATTCCGATGAAGAATCGGAAGATGACGATGACAGTAAGATTCCAGAGGTTAAAGAGGACAAACATGTTCATTCTTTGCCAACGAAACCAACTGATCCTTTGACCACTACAACTAAACCAGGAGTACCCATAGATTCAGGAAAGGGCGGTGTTACACCTTATTCTGATGAAGAATCGGAAGATGACGATGACAGTAAGATTCCAGAGGTTAAAGAGGACAAACCTGTTCCTTCTTTGCCAATGAAACCAACTGATCCATTGACCACTACAACTAAACCAGGAGTACCCATAGATTCAGGAAAGGGCGGTGTTACACCTTATTCCGATGAAGAATCGGAAGATGACGATGACAGTAAGGTTCCAGAGGTTAAAGAGGACAAACCTGTTCCTTCTTTGCCAATGAAATCGACTGATCCATTGACCACTACAACTAAACCAGGAGTACCCATAGATTCAGGAAAGGGCGGTGTTACACCTTATTCCGATGAAGAATCGGACGATGACGATGACAGTAAGGTTCCAGAGGTTAAAGAGGACAAACCTGTTCCTACTTTGCCAATGAAACCAACTGATCCATTGACCTCGACAGCCGACGGTTACATTAAGGTTCCAGAAGTTAAGGAGGACAAACCTGTTCCTTCTTTGCCAATGAAACCAACTGATCCATTGACCACTACAACTAAACCAGGAGTACCCATAGATTCAGGAAAGGGCGGTGTTACACCTTATTTCGATGAAGAATCGGAAGATGACGATGACAGTAAGGTTCCAGAGGTTAAAGAGGACAAACCTGTTCCTTTTTTGCCATTGAAACCCACTGATCCATTGACCACTACAACTAAACCAGGAGTACCCATAGATTCAGGAAAGGGCGGTGTTACACCTTATTCCGATGAAGAATCGGAAGATGACGATGACAGTAAGGTTCCAGAGGGTAAAGAGGAAAAACCTGTTCCTTCTTTGCCAATGAAACCAACTGATCCATTGACCACTACAACTAAACCAGGAGTACCCATAGATTCAGGAAAGGGCGGTGTTACACCTTATTCCGATGAAGAATCGGAAGATGACGATGACAGTAAGGTTCCAGAGGTTAAAGAGGACAAACCTGTTCCTTCTTTGCCAATGAAACCAACTGATCCATTGACCACTACATCTAAACCAGGAGTACCCATAGATTCAGGAAAGGGCGGTGTTACACCTTATTCCGATGAAGAATCGGAAGATGACGATGACAGTAAGGTTCCAGAGGTTAAGGAGGACAAACCTGTTCCTTCTTTGCCAATGAAACCAACTGATCCATTGACCACTACAACTAAACCAGGAGTACCCATAGATTCAGGAAAGGGCGGTGTTACACCTTATTCCGATGAAGAATCGGGAGATGACGATGACAGTAAGGTTCCAGAGGTTAAGGAGGACAAACCTGTTCCCACTTTGCCAATGAAACCAACCGATCCATTGACCTCCACAGCCGACGGTTACAGTAAGGTTCCAGAGGTTAAAGAGGACAAACCTGTTCCTTCTTTGTCAATGAAACCAACTGATCCATTGACCACTTCAACTAAACCAGGAGTATCCATAGATTCAGGAAAGGGCGGTGTTATACCTTATTCCGATGAAGAATCGGAAGATGACGATGACAGTAAGGTTCCAGAGGTTAAAGAGGACAAACCTGTTCCTACTTTGCCAATGAAACCAACCGATCCATTGACCACTACAACTAAACCAGGAGTACCCATAGATTCAGGAAAGGGCGGTGTTACACCTTATTCCGATGAAGAATCGGAAGATGACGATGACAGTAAGATTCCAGAGGTTAAAGAGGACAAACATGTTCCTTCTTTGCCAATGAAACCAACTGATCCTTTGACCACTACAACTAAACCAGGAGTACCCACAGATTCAGGAAAGGGCGGTGTTACACCTTATTCTGATGAAGAATCGGAAGATGACGATGACAGTAAGATTCCAGAGGTTAAAGAGGACAAACCTGTCACTTCTTTGCCAATGAAACCAACTGATCCATTGACCACTACAACTAAACCAGGAGTACCCATAGATTCAGGAAAGGGCGGTGTTACACCTTATTCCGATGAAGAATCGGAAGATGACGATGACAGTAAGATTCCAGAGGTTAAAGAGGACAAACATGTTCCTTCTTTGCCAATGAAACCAACTGATCCTTTGACCACTACAACTAAACCAGGAGTACCCATAGATTCAGGAAAGGGCGGTGTTACACCTTATTCTGATGAAGAATCGGAAGATGACGATGACAGTAAGATTCCAGAGGTTAAAGAGGACAAACCTGTTCCTTCTTTGCCAATGAAACCAACTGATCCATTGACCACTACAACTAAACCAGGAGTACCCATAGATTCAGGAAAGGGCGGTGTTACACCTTATTCCGATGAAGAATCGGAAGATGACGATGACAGTAAGGTTCCAGAGGTAAAAGAGGACAAACCTGTTCCTTCTTTGCCAATGAAATCAATTGATGCATTGACCACTACAACTAAACGAGGAGTACCCATAGATTCAGGAAAGGGCGGTGTTACACCTTACTCCGATGAAGAATCGGAAGATGACGATGACAGTAAGGTTCCAGAGGTTAAAGAGGACAATCCTGTTCCTTCTTTGCCAATGAAATCAACTGATCCATTGACCACTGCAACTAAACCAGGAGTACCCATAGATTCAGGAAAGGGCGGTGTTACACCTTACTCCGATGAAGAATCGGAAGATGACGATGACAGTAAGGTTCCAGAGGTTAAAGAGGACAATCCTGTTCCTTCTTTGCCAATGAAACCAACCGATCCATTGACCACTACAACTGAACCAGGAGTACTCATAGATTCAGGAAAGGGCGGTGTTACACCTTATTCCGATGAAGAATCGGAAGATGACGATGACAGTAAGGTTCCACAGGTTAAGGAGGACAAACCTGTTCCTTCTTTGCCAATGAAACCAACTGATCCATTGACCACTACAACTAAACCAGGAGTACCCATAGATTCAGGAAAGGGCGGTGTTACACCTTATTCCGATGAAGAATCGGAAGATGACGATGACAGTAAGATTCCAGAGGTTAAAGAGGACAAACCTGTTCCTTCTTTGCCAATGAAACCAACTGATCCTTTGACCACTACAACTAAACCAGGAGTACCCATAGATTCAGGAAAGGGCGGTGTTACACCTTATTCCGATGAAGAATCGGAAGATGACGATGACAGTAAGGTTCCACAGGTTAAGGAGGACAAACCTGTTCCTTCTTTGCCATTGAAACCAACTGATCCATTGACCACTACAACTAAACCAGGAGTACCCATAGATTCAGGAAAGGGCGGTGTTACACCTTATTCCGATGAAGAATCGGAAGATGACGATGACAGTAAGATTCCAGAGGTTAAAGAGGACAAACCTGTTCCTTCTTTGCCAATGAAACCAACTGATCCTTTGACCACTACAACTAAACCAGGAGTACCCATAGATTCAGGAAAGGGCGGTGTTACACCTTATTCCGATGAAGAATCGGAAGATGACGATGACAGTAAGATTCCAGAGGTTAAAGAGGACAAACCTGTTCCTTCTTTGCCAATGAAACCAACTGATCCTTTGACCACTACAACTAAACCAGGAGTACCCATAGATTCAGGAAAGGGCGGTGTTACACCTTATTCCGATGAAGAATCGGAAGATGACGATGACAGTAAGGTTCCACAGGTTAAGGAGGACAAACCTGTTCCTTCTTTGCCATTGAAACCAACTGATCCATTGACCACTACAACTAAACCAGGAGTACCCATAGATTCAGGAAAGGGCGGTGTTACACCTTATTCCGATGAAGAATCGGAAGATGACGATGACAGTAAGATTCCAGAGGTTAAAGAGGACAAACCTGTTCCTTCTTTGCCAATGAAACCAACTGATCCTTTGACCACTACAACTAAACCAGGAGTACCCATAGATTCAGGAAAGGGCGGTATTACACCTTATTCCGATGAAGAATCGGAAGATGACGATAACAGTAAGGTTCCAGAGGTAAAAGAGGACAAACCTGTTCCTACTTTGCCAATGAAACCAACTGATCCACTGACCACTACAACTAAACCAGAGGTACCCTTAGATTCAGGAAAGGGCGGTGTTACACCTTATTTCGATGAAAAATCGGGAGATGACGATGACAGTAAGGTTCCAGAGGATAAAGAGGACAAACCTGTTCCTACTTTGCCAATGAAACCAACTGATCTATTGACCACTACAACTAAACCAGGAGTACCCATAGATTCAGGAAAGGGCGGTGTTACACCTTATTCCGATGAAGAATCGGAAGATGACGATGACAAAAAGGTTCCAGAGGTTAAAGAGGACAAACCTGTTCCTTCTTTGCCAATGAAACCAACTGATCCATTGACCACTACAACTAAACCAGGAGTACCCATAGATTCAGGAAAGGGCGGTGTTACACCTTATTCCGATGAAGAATCGGAAGATGACGATGACAGTGAGGTTCCAGAGGTTAAAGAGGACAAACCTGTTCCTACTTTGCCAATGAAACCAACCGATCCATTGACCTCCACAGCTGACTGTGACAGTAAGGTTCCAGAGGTTAAAGAGGACAAACCTGTTCCTTCTTTGCCAATGAAACCAACTGATCCATTGACCACTACAACTAAACCAGGAGGACCAATAGATTCAGGAAAGGGCGGTGTTACACCTTATTCCGATGAAGAATCGGAAGATGACGATGACAGTAAGGTTCCAGAGGTAAAAGAGGACAAACCTGTTCCTTCTTTGCCAATGAAACCAACTGATCCATTGACCACTACAACTAAACCAGGAGTACCCATAGATTCAGGAAAGGGCGGTGTTACACCTTATTCCGATGAAGAATCGGGAGATGACGATGACAGTAAGGTTCCAGAGGTTAAAGAGGACAAACCTGGTCCTACTTTTCCAATGAAACCAACCGATCCATTGACCTCCACAGCTGACTGTGACAGTAAGGTTCCAGAGGTTAAAGAGGACAAACCTGTTCCTTCTTTGCCAATGAAACCAACTGATCCATTGACCACTACAACTAAACCAGGAGTACCCATAGATTCAGGAAAGGGCGGTGTTACACCTTGTTCCGATGAAGAATCGGAAGATGACGATGACAGTAAGGTTCCAGAGGTTAAGGAGGACAAACCTGTTCCTTCTTTGCCAATGAAACCAACTGATACATTGACCACTACAACTAAACCAGGAGTACCCATAGATTCAGGAAAGGGCGGTATTACACCTTATTCCGATGAAGAATCGGAAGATGACGATGACAGTAAGGTTCCAGAGGTAAAAGAGGACAAACCTGTTCCTACTTTGCCAATGAAACCAACTGATCCATTGACCACTACAACTAAACCAGAGGTACCCTTAGACTCAGGAAAGGGCGGTGTTACACCTTATTCCGATGAAGAATCGGAAGATGACGATGGCAGTAAGGTTCCGGAGGTAAAAGAGGACAAACCTGTTCCTACTTTGCCAATGAAGCCAACTGATCCATTGACCACTACAACTAAAGCAGAGGTACCCTTAGATTCAGGAAAGGGCGGTATTACACCTTATTCCGATGAAGAATCGGAAGATGA